TGTGTGTGTGTGTGTGTGTGTGTGTGTGTGTGTGTGTGTGTGTGTGTGTGTATGTGTGTGTGTGTGTGTATGTGTGTATGTGGGTGTGTGTGTCTGTTTGTGTGTATGTATGTGTGTGTGCGTGTATATGTGTGTATGTGTGTGTGTGTGTATGTGTGTGTGTGTATGTGTGTGTGTGTATGTGTGTGTGTGTGTGTGTATGTGTGTATGTGTATGTGTGTGTATGTGGGGGTGGGGGTGGGTGTGTTTTGGTGTGTGGGTGTGTCTGTGTGTGTGTGTGTGTGTGTGTGTGTGTGTGTGTGTGTGTGTGTGACGTTCACCTTTCAGACGAACAATAGGTGAGGAATAATTTGGATAATTTTAATTGACCTTTGTGCCATCGAATTCTGTAGACATTTAAGTATATGTATTCCAGTAACCCTTCAAAGAATGTTTTAATGTACACGTAACCGCACTGCTAGAATTAGGTTTTTGTACACGTAACCGCACTGCTAGAATTAGGTTTTTAATCGGAGTTTACACATAAGTCGTCCAACATTCGAATGTATTAAAAATAAAATGACTTTCAGATACACGAACTCTGTTCCATTATTTACGATACGAACCTTGCTGTTTTCGTCTGACGGATACTAGGACACAACTGCAGTTGTTGAATGTGCAATTGATGAAAAAATATTCTTTGACGTAAATGTATATTATATAAAAAAACAAAATTGGCCACAAAGCAATTTAACCTTTATTTGATTTGCAATAGGCAACACTGCCTTTGTGTTTTACACACATTTAAACATGACAATGCCAAGATGGCAATAATAAATACATTTTTGCTCTCAAATATTGACGGCATTTACATGAATTAGCAGCAAAATAACACACATTCACAAGGAACATATTCATTCACAATAGTAAGCATGAACACAGGATGCAATAGACTTTAACAAAAAAATAATGCGAAGCGAAGGATGCAAGGAATTAATTTGAATTACACATTAAACAAAATTCCATGTCTAATTTCATTAGCTTTGTAAATAACCATAGCTAAATTTCTAATAATAAAATTGTTTCCTGAAGAAACATGTTCAAAAAATTTGTCCATATTTGGTCTACAGTAATATTCCTTTTTCAAAACAAATGATCTAATTTCAGAGTATAACGGGCATTCCATAACAAAATGATATTCATCTTCACTTTTAGTACACACACTACAATATCGCATTTCTGCAGGTATTGGGTTAGGTCTATGCCATCTCCCTGTTTCTATATTTAATCTATGGGCAGATATGCGAAGCGCTGTTAAAGATTTCTATTTTTTTAACGTTTACTATATCAAGATATTTCTTATAACCAAACCCATTTGATAAAAGTATATAACATCTTGCTTTTGGCGAGTCAACAAGAGCACTCTGCCAATCCTGTATAAAAATATCCCTCACTCTGGTTTGAAATACTATATATATATATACTTGCGTAGCAGAACTAGACTGGGTCGATCGTCGGCGAGCAGGTAGCTCCATTGTTTCAGCATCCGTCTAGAGTTCGGAAAATCCCGGGTTCGAACCCCGGTCTAGCCGTGCATTTTCCCATCTCTTGTTACACTCACATACGCTATATATGATACCCTATCTAACGATATTAGCAGCATTCTGAATAGATACATAGTATTGGACTACTTAGATACCTGTAATGACATTTCAGGTAGACAAACTGTCCCTAGAACTACCCAGTCTCATACTACCATGGTGCTGGTAGTTGCGTACATGCGCAGTGGGTCGAGTTTTTTGGGTGACATTCTACAACAGCACGAGTCCAGCTTCTATGTGTACGAACCCCTCAAGTTTGCTGCAGACAGGACCGACAACAACCAGACTATTGCCCTCTTCAATGGATCTGAAAGGTATGAACAGGTTATAACAATTTGGGTCGTAATTGGTTAGAGAGTGTTTGTAAAGCGATGATATTGTTATTAAATATACGCAAAAAGGACTTTGACCATTGTAGGATTTAACGGTTGTTCAGAAGAAAGAATATCATTAAAAACAGAGAAGAAATTCGAACGCGAAGCCATCTATCTGTGAGGTAGCATATAGCTCTGTGGTCAAACTGCTTGTGAACTTTAGCAATATTGCTACGAGGATATTTATTGTGTAAGGTAAATGAATGGTCGAGTGTTTCGTGATGTTAATGGTAACGCGCCACGCAGACATTCATTGCCAAGCTGACCCGTAAGTGTCTTTAGAGTTCGTGCTATGGCGCAGCGGCCGTTGACAGAATTTTCTTACCTTCTTCTTCAAGTCCATAAAGCACTGTCTTGATATTTTACACGTAGCTTTTAGTGATAATACTTACTCAATTGCTTGTGTAATGGTTCATGACATTGACGCACCTTCAACGTCTCGAGGGTTGAATTTGTTAAAAAATTTAAATGATTTCTGCTACACAACTTTGTATGCGGGCTAGATCAATATATTGCTTTTGCACAGGACCAATGAAATTGTTCAAATCAAGGACATTTATCCATATGCGGTCAAATATTCATTTTCAAAAAACATGTTCTCAAATAATCAAAATATAGTCCTAATATTAGGCTGTAGCTAGTTTGGTTGATGCTTGCTATTTGTAATTGTACGATAACCTCACCAGCTATCAGTAAACGCCTGTAGCCTCTATACAGCCACTGATACTTCATTATGTTACTGTCCGCTGAGAAGAACCTTCAAAAATTAGAAAAAGGCCTGTAATAGACATCCGTTTCAAGTACTTGGTATATTCTTATAAAGGGATAAGTTGATTGGACCAAGAAATTGGGCATTTATTAGGTGAATATTAATTGTGATATCTTTTATTTTTGAAGGTATTTTCATACGCCGGAGGAAAAGGTTTCGTTTTTTGTGGAGACTTTGTACAACTGGTTCACCTGCAACTTCAATGACCTTGACATTGGCACGCTGACCAGCAGTTATTTGCTGTATTACAGTAAGATGACGCGGACTTACTCAGGATGTCTAAGACGATACAACCATACCACGGCCGGGATCGATAACTGTATCCACCATCTCCACGCCACATGTGTCCCCGCCAAACTCCGTGTGATCAAGTGTATAAGGATTGATATGGATACCGTTAACCTTCTACAACAAAGACTTCCATTTCTAAAGGTCATTCATGTTGTTCGTGACCCCAGAGGTGTGATGAATTCTAGGGTCAAGGTCAAACTGTCAAATTGGATAAATCTTGACACAGAGGTTACTGATCTCTGTAGCAGAATGACAAATAACATAGAAATGGCTGCTCAAATGAATGAGAATTATGTGAAACAAATTGTTTATGAACTAGTGGCAGAACATCCTATAGGGATGGCAGAGGAGCTTTATAAGTTTGCTGGACTAGAGTTGAGCCCTATGGCGAGAAAGGGAGTGTACCGATTAAGCCATTACTCACCGCTTGCCCGTGACTGTGACTGGTGCACAAAAAAATCCAACTCCACAAAGACATCACTGCTGTGGAGATCACAGTTAGACCTGGAGCATGCTAGGACTATAGACTCTCACTGCTTAGAGCTGTACAGAGCTATGGGCTACCTAGCTGTAGAGGACGTACAGCAGCTTAGGAACCTCAGCATCCCTCTACGTCTAAGGATTCTCCCTCCAGGTCCATTGTGACATCAACCAAATTCAACAAATGATGTTACAAAACTGCTGATCTCAGAGAGCATAATACATTTCTTCTCAAATGTTCATTAAATTGACTGTACTTTGGCCATTGTTTCAAGTTAAGACGGAACTGTACTTTGGCCATTGTTTCAAGTTAAGACGGAACTTCTTAATATATGTTCATGAAACTTGATGATTTCAATGGATGCTTGAAGAAAAATTGACCTTAAAATTTTTGATTTTGTGAATTGAAAAATGTTCTTAAAGTTGAGCAGTTTTGTAACTCCAAGCTGGACTGTTTATTTCATTCTTCCTTTTCAATCTTTTGACACAATCATCCAAAACGTTTTCTTATTGAAAGATAGATGACAAACTATCACTCCTTTTTGCATAAATGTTTATTTCATTAAACTGACTTTAGACTCTAAAGTCACAAAATATCATGTTGTGATGTATATATGTGTATCTACTATATAGACAGGGTGAGTATCAACCTACAGGTATATACAAACAACCCCTGGTTGTCAATCATTGATTGGTTGCCAGGACAACCTATACACTAGTTGTCAATTTTCACCTGGTTGTCAATCTAAGAACTGGCCATCAACAACAATTCCTTTGAATGGCAATCTATATACTATATAGCATATAAGTACAGTTTTTGTTAAAAATAAGGAATATCTTTGGTTGAAAACTGTTTCTTTGATATTACTGTTTTAGTATAGAACATTGGAAAAAATACATGGAAACACTATTGAATGAGCTTCAAAATGAAATATGTGGTCCTGTTAGGAAACTGGTGGAATTGTGAATTGTCAGTTAAACTGGTTGTTTATGACAATGAGATTAGATGTGTTAAAATGTTCATTCATTCAGGACCCAAACAGGAGAGGTCGTAGTTCATACGTAACTGGAACAGGAGGGGTCGTGAAATGCGGATAACACAACCAAACAGTGTCAAACAGCATCTGTGGATAGTAAGAACAGCCAATATTTCTTTTTGAAAGAACAGCTAGTTATTGAAACTTGAGCAAACATGACATTTAAATCACTAAGACTACTTGATATCAATTCTTATTGCTAACTTTTAAATTAAAATTATTTAACAAATAATAAATGTATCTACCATATTTACATATTATGCATTTTGATCACAGCTGTAAGGTAAATACATCCTATTTTCACTAGTATAACTTAATATTCCTGGTCAAGCTTTCACACTGTTCACTGATCTGCTGTTTATCTTAGATCAGATTCACCAAAACTATTGTTATATAGATGTACATTTCTATCTTTACAGGCAAGAATGATCTGTTCCAACTTGAATTGAAACTGGCAACAAAGTATGGTTTTAGTGTATCACAGTTGTCTCCCGTTTATAAGTTTTCAAGAGAGTACTGTATACATATAGCAGTATTTCATGGTTAAAACGTTGCTGTTTTGCCATGTTTTCCCTTGGTGTAGGGAAACACAAGGTTTTATTTCCCTGTCATGTGATGTTAGACATTTATTTTCCCTTGTTGTAGGGATTCACAAGGTTTTATTTCCCTGTCATGTGATGTTAGACATTTATTTTCCCTTGTTGTAGGGAAACAAGGTTTTATTTCCCTGTCATGTGATATTTCATACATGTAGATGAGGAACAATAATAAACAATTGTTTAATGACAAAGTATGGCACAAACTGATTTTATATGGGTCAATTCTTAGGTTGTCTGCCCCTAGGGAGCTGTAGCACTAACTGTGAAGATTGGATCACAAAATCCAAAAAAAAAGATCATGTGTCAATTTTAGACGTTAGTCAAACTGAAATAAATATATACTCATTGCACACTGTACAAATTAATACTTTGGTTCCATCGCCTCCGACAAACTGATAATATTAAAGGACCATAGAGAAGTATAGACACTTGTCCTTATGGCAAAAATTTAAACTGAAACAGTTTGACTGTTTCATACGGAAGAGTTAAGGGAGACAACCCTACATAATTCACTATGTCCGTTATTTAGTCATGTGACATGTAATTGATGTAGGTATCAAACAAGGATGAAGAAGCACAGATCTCATAGGTTAAAAATCGTCAATGAATGATTTATCAATAACAGATTAATAACAGAATGATACTTAAGTCAATAAGAATTTTTCTCTCAATTTATCATGATTGAAAAAACAACCACATTCATGCCGATGTTTATTCACTGTGGTATTTACATTTGAAGACACTTTCTGGCTGCGACGTAGTTTATGGCTGCGACGTAGTTCTATAATACATCTCTGTCAACTGATGTGCACATTTTACATTAAATGTATCTTGTAAATACAACTCGCGTTATTTATTTTGTATAAAATATCTCACCAGTTGAGTTTGAGTTCAGATTAGCTCTATGACAGCAGTTAGGTGTATATCAAAAGCAGTACGTATCTTTAACTTCTAAAACAGAAATCAACATGAAGGAGGAGGCTAAAATGGCTGTGCAAGTTAAACATTATTGCAGCAATATTTCGCACACAAACACATGACAGTTAACACAATGTTTATGAGATAATGCTGATCCGTGAAACGTCCTAGTGCCATTAGTTGGGTAGCAGTAATGCTAATCTGAGTGCAGGTTGATTGGTGGCTAGTTAGCAATGGATCTATAACATAACCTCGGTGAGATGTTAGCATAAAATACTAACATATCAACACCAATTATATTATCAACAGAGTCAAAATGTAACGTACTGTCAATAACACATTAACTCATTCACCCCTGAAGTTTCATCATGAACTATTCCAACCTTTGAATTAGAAGGGTTCAAATGTTTCTTCAGGGGTGAATTAATTTATGTAACTGTTCAAGTTCAGGCATTAACACATTAACTCATTCACCCCTGAAGTTTCATCATGAACTATTCCAACCTTTGAATTAGAAGGGTTCAAATGTTTCTTCAGGGGTGAATTAATTTATGTAACTGTTCAAGTTCAGGCATTAACACATTAACTCATTCACCCCTGAAGTTTCATCATGAACTATTCCAACCTTTGAATTAGAAGGGTTCAAATGTTTCTTCAGGGGTGAATTAATTTATGTAACTGTTCAAGTTCAGGCATTAACACATTAACTCATTCACCCCTGAAGTTTCATCATGAACTATTCCAACCTTTGAATTAGAAGGGTTCAAATGTTTCTTCAGGGGTGAATTAATTTATGTAACTGTTCAAGTTCAGGCAACAGTAGTTAGAAACAAACGTTAACATGTTCCTGTTACAGCAGTCATCAGAAATGTTCATGATACACTAATTAGTTCAATAAAAATTGTTCAAGATATTTGGCTCAACATAAATTGTGCAAAGTACGAAGGTTGATTCAACATAAATTGTTCAAAATACAGTGGTTGATTCAACATAAATTGTTCAAAATAGAAGTAGTTGGCTCAATGCAACAAGGTAGTTGCCAAGGTGACCGGACCACCAGTACATCAGTCCACGGTAAGAGATCAACAGTTGGTACATGCCATTAACTTAATAATTTACGTTTTCTGTGTTAAGATACAATATGATCAAAAGCATATACTCCCATAGACAAAGAGTATAATACTCCCATAGATAAAGTATATACTTCAATATTAAAGCAGATTTCTGGGCAGTGAAGGGAAAGCATCATAAATCGGTCCTTTGGTAAAAACACACGTCACAATTTTGTGAAATATTGTTCCTTTGGTCAAAATCCACACATCTTGGGTCTCATCTTGTGAGAAATAATATGTGATTTCAATTCTTGAATCACTATGCATATCCAACCCTGTGTACATAACTGTAATGAGAGAAATTGCACATCAAAATTGTACAGCTTCCCGACGAAGAAAGTCACAATCTTCACGCGTATATCCATGTAGCACATTTCAACATAAAATCACAGATCACAATAAAACACGTGAGTCTCTGTCTCACAAAGGCGTGTTTTCAAACTCAACCGACATGGTCGACTTTCTATTGACCATAGACGTGCGTGGCGACACCTGTGGGGGTGATTCTATCCGTTGACTGTGTCGCTGGGGGATGGGTGGCGGGTCATTGGACAACACCTCTAATTGTTTATACTCTGCATTAGCAGAACTGTTCGACCGGGGACCCGTTGGGTTTGCTCCGTCTTTATTATTAGCAGAAACATTTGATGTAGATCGAGATAATGAGGTCGCCGAACCCATTACTGTAGGTGACTTAGGCGAAGTTGTAGGTAGACGAGGAGGAAGTGGAGGGCCAGACCGGGATATACCTGTCCTCCCAGATATGCCTCCGGTGGTCTGAAAAACGTACAGAAATATGCATTTTTTAAAAAAATGGCTGAACTCATAGAATTATCCGACACTGACATAATTATAGAACACTGTCACATGACTCTGTAACCCTCTGGTATGTACATAACTGTAACCTGGCAGTTGTTTCTTTTAGGTTGGACATTAAAACACTTCCTTTTATGTTAATGCAATACAGGAGTACCGCAAGGGCAGAAACATATATGTCCCATACCAAAATGACATACTTAAAATCCTTCCCATGCATTCTTGTTTTAATATGTATGAATATATTGAAATATAAGGGGTGGTGTAAGGAAAAAACCAATATAGTAATTCACTCACCTAAGCTGAGTTAATTTATACATCCATTATACCTATCTATTTGTATAGGAGTTGCTTCCCTTTGCCCATATCATAAGAAATGACCTACCTTAGGTGGTAAAGAAGGATGGTCTGATGGAAATGACTTCTTCCTTGGAAGGGAAGGCGGATCTTCATCTTTTCCAGATTCTGAAATTAAAAAAACATATAATTGGTTTAACAGTGCCTTCAAACAAAATCAATTATACAAAAATATTTATCCAACTTGTATTTTAGTATCCATAGTTCATTCTTGCCAACTTGAGACAACCTTAAATTTAATATTTCCAACTCAAGAACTCAACATCCTTAAGGGGTATATATACACATTTTATTTGTTTTTAATTTTGAGCATGCAGAAGGTTGGCAAGTATGCATGTATATAATATAAATATTTTTTATCTGCATGTATTTTCAGTTTTGATCTTACTAATCCCAGATGATATGTATCTAACCAAATTCTAAAAGTTATTTAAGGTAGTTTTCTACAGCTCTGTATTGTATCTCCAGCAAAGAAGAATTCAGATTTGTTTGTCATCTTTCTTACTTCTGAGTTGCTTGTTCATTTACAATTTATGAAAGAAATGTATTTATGATTTCCCTTTTCATCCCTTGATCATAAAGAAGGGAGCGTAACTGAGCGCCATCCCTTATGATATTTGTTGATACTTTTCTGCAACATTACTGGAGTTAGTCTCAAAATGTTTCAACTCTTTAAAAAGTGCCTGCACCCTATACTCATCTCTAATGGATATACTGTATTAAGGCCTGTATACTGAAGAAAAGTGGAAGGATTGATTACCTTAACTGACCAATCTGATTGTTACTTATATTTCAAATCAAAGCTGTTACTAATCTCACCAATCAAAGGTGAGGGACTAAGAGAATCTTCCCCTACCTTGAGGATGTGACAGAAAAATCTCCAATCTGAGGAGTGATTAATTTGGCTGTTGAACCTGAGGCTCTGTCGAGGGAAGGACCCCCAAATAATTACCCCAAGGGTTGGAGATTTCTCTGTTTCACCCTCATGGTATGGGCTCATTATTTTCTCCCATCCTCTTATTTCAGTCACAGCTCAACTGACAGTAAACAAAAGCATATTTGGCGTTAGAATGTTTGATATTCACCTTTTTATGACGTCACAATTTAGCGTGTGCTACTCTGCACGAGGCTATCTCCCACCAGGGACCGACAAGCTGATCTTAAACTGGAGACTTGACCAATCAGAGGTGATACTTACCTGACCTGTCATGATTCCCTAGCCCAGTCAGTAATATTTACCTGAGAGTCTCCTAGGTGGAAGTGCTGGGGTCGATACAGATGACATCATACTAGGGGATGGGGATGGGGGAGGACTGTCCCCGTAGGAGTGGTGACGTCCCTGGACTGGTATTGCGGGACTGAGTGGGGTCACGTAAACTTCCCGTCTCGTTGGCTCCTTTGCACATGGAGTGGGAGGCCCCTCGGGGTACAGATAGTCACCTGAATAAAGAAATGAGGCCATATGTGTATTTCGTTCTTGTTGAAGTCACATCTTAATTTTTTTTACAAATTTTTATTTTTGCAGCTCATAATCAAAAGATCACTTTAATAGAACATTAAATGTATAATTACCAGTAAAACCTTTCCTTAGTAGCAATGTCAACTTCACACCAACATGTCAAAATAGTTGGCTAAACAAGTCATGGTCGCATAAGATTTCACTTCTGTTAGCTAGCCAGTTGTCAAGGTTACATCAATGTGATGTCACCATAGTTAGTGAATGTCAAGGTCAGATCAATGTGATGTCACCATAGTAAGTAAATGTCAAGCTCACATCAATGTGATGTCACCATAGTTAGTGAATGTCAAGGTCAGATCAATGTGATGTCACCATAGTTAGTGAATGTCAAGGTCAGATCAATGTGATGTCACCATAGTTAGTGAATGTCAAGGTCAGATCAATGTGATGTCACCATAGTTAGTGAATGTCAAGGTCAGATCAATGTGATGTCACCATAGTTAGTGAATGTCAAGGTCAGATCAATGTGATGTCACCATAGTTAGTGAATGTCAAGGTCAGATCAATGTGATGTCACCATAGTTAGTGAATGTCAAGGTCAGATCAATGTGATGTCACCATAGTAAGTAAATGTCAAGCTCACATCAATGTGATGTCACCATAGTTAGTGAATGTCAAGGTCAGATCAATGTGATGTCACCATAGTTAGTGAATGTCAAGCTTACATCAATGTGATGTCACCATAGTTAGTTTATGTCAAGGTCATATCAATGTGATGTCACCATAGTTAGTTAATGTCAAGGTCACAGGTCACATCAATGTAATGTCACCATAGTTAGTTAATGTCAAGGTCACATCTATGTGATGTCACCATAGTTAGTGAATGTCAAAGTCACATCAATGTGATGTCACCATAGTTAGTTAATGTCAAGGTCACATCAATGTAATGTCACCATAGTTAGTGAATATCAAGGTCACATCAATGTGATGTCACCATAGTTAGTTAATGTCAAGGTCACATCAATGTAATGTCACCATAGTTAGTGAATGTCAAGGTCACATCAAATGTAATGTCACAATAGTAGTTAAAGTCAAGGTCATATCAAATGTAATGTCACCATAGTTAGTTAATGTCAAGGTCACATCAATGTGATGTCACCATAGTTAATGAATGTCAAGGTCACATCAATGTCATATCTGATAACACTATAGTTGGCTAAGTCAATATTGATGTAAATAGAAATGGAAATTTGACTCACATTACTTCATTTACAGACATTTGGAATAGGACTGTTAAATTCGCTAGCTATGACTCACAAGCTATTCAGGTAGAGACTTCAGACCAAAGGACTGGTTCGTAATTCCAATTATAAAAAAAAGCTGTCAGAGAACAGCATAGATGGTACAGTTAAAGAATATTAGAAAAGAAGGTCTAAAACAAGTGTAAAATTGTAATAAGTGTACATGGAGCCTTACCTTCCTGTCTGATGGAGAGAGTACTTATTGGTCTGTTGGTGGTCTGTTTGATATTGGGGTCGCTTCCATGACGCGGGGCATGCATATGTGGGACCAACTACAATACAAGAAAGTAGCCTGCTAAAAGTGTGGTCTTCTGGTTATCTCTGGATTGATTACTAAACACTCGAGTTCATTATAATGTTTGTCCTTATAAAACGGTGGCACCGGGAGTATACACATAAGGAGCAAATAAAGCATCACAATATTTGGGGAAAAAATGATTGAAAATGACAATAAATGCATGTTGTCCTCATTTCCATTACTTGCTATGCTGCTTTAATTTAGTAAGCTTGCAGAAAATTATTGAAAAACAGATTTAAAATGTAATGAAAGCCTTCTCTGCTGTTATTCGGACATTATCTAGCATTCAAGATACTTTACAGAAAAGCTGTATGTATACAGATTATGTTATGCATGCAAGGTACTAGCATCTTAACCCTTTACCACACATGTAACAAACGTAACACCCTTCACCTATAGCTAACAGGGCACCTGTCAGGTTTTATACAGATATACACTAGATAGTCACCATGCACCCAGCTGAAACTCAAACATATATATTTGCTTACAATTTTGACCTTTAAGGGGCCATAACTCTTTGTCATGCAATACCTAATGTACAAATATCAGTCTACAATGGAGAATAAAACTTCTACTGCTGATATATGTTAGGACAAACTGAAAAGTGATTTAGATAAAATACACAAATATAAGACCAGTAATAAGTGACAAAACATCCTCTAATAAACATTTACAAAATAACCCAGTGTTTTCTGTGACAAACATCTACAAAACCCAGTGTTTTCTGTGACAAACATCTACAAAACCCAGTGTTTTCTGTGACAAACATCTACAAAACCCCGTGTTTTCTGTGACAAAAATCTATAAAATAACCCAGTGTTTTCTGTGACAAACATCTACAAAACCTTGTGTTAATTTCAACTCACTTCGACACAAACTGGTGTTCACTTTGACAAACATCTATACAACCCACTTGGCATGTTTACCAAGCTTTATGTTTTAAAATCATCTCCAATCTTATACAGAATTATGAAAGGGCATCCCTGACCAGAATTATGAAAGGGCATCCCTGACCTGTCTTAGCATCAATAGAGGGAACCCTAGCAGAAAGAAATGGTACTAAGGTAGGTTATCCCAACAATGATCTTGCAGCATCGATCATAAAAGAAGTATACAACACATATAGATTACAATCCATATCAGCAAAATCTCAAGACAGACAAATGGATAGACAATGCGAAATATCCCTTTGAGATGACAACAGAAAATCGGTTCTCAACAACATTCCATAATACATTGTCGTTGGAACGGTGGTTCTTCTGGAGGGCGTTCCAGTAATGTTGTCACAAAGTTAGTCCCCAAGACCTAATACCAACCTGTTGGGCTGCTAACCCGTTTAGACACAGTGAGTGTGGCCGTGACGGTATTGGAGGGGGCACAGCCACTCTGGGGCTCCCAAAGGAGACATGTTGCCCGGGGCTCCCCACAGGGAAGTGTTGACTGTGACGTCTCTTTTCCGGAGGAGGCGGAGGTATTAGGGGTGAAAGGTTAAATTGTTGTGGAGGATGCTGATGTGGGCACTCCTGGATGACATGCAGAGAGATGGTACAGTACAGAATTAGCATCACATGGTGTACCATGGGTAATACCACTGTACAGGGCAGGATCAACAAGCTAATATGTGTCGGGCTGGTATTGTGTAACGATACTAAGGTGCCCGATGATAAATGAAATGTTCATACAGTTATTACCCATTCCATTAAATAGTTGAGAAAAAGATTTCAGTGGATGTTAAACAGAATCTGCTGTGGATATTGTAATAATGAAATAAATTAAATTTTTATTGATTTTTTAGAATATCTCAATACTATTTTTAAATATGCTATACAAATATGATAACAAAAATACAAATTTATGAAAGAATAGTACTTTAAATGAAAGTTACAATTAATTACCAATTTGATTACAAAGAATCAAAATTATTCAATTTGAGTTAGAAACAACACTTTTTTTCTTGCATGTTATTTAAACAAAATCAAAATAATCATGCAACAATAACCACAAAATTACAAAATTTAATCTTTGAACAAAATAAACAAACTCCATTTACAAAAGACCATAGATTTACAACACAGCAGTTTCTGTAAGCTCATACGAAAAGTTCTCTCCCTTGGGAGTAAAAAATAACAAAAGCGTTCGTGCACTTAAAATCAAAATAGCCACATGTCATATTGTTCTATGTTTAATATTCCCTACCGTTCTAAAGGTAATATTTCATCTAAGCTGATTCATTCAGACCAAAATCATTAAGTTAGGAGTTTTAGAAGGAAGATGACAACTAAAACATTCCACATAAGGGCAGACAATCCAACACATCAAGATGCATAGCTTCTTAGGTTGTCATGGAGATCAGGTACAACCTTATTCTTTTCATGCAAAAACACAATTTATCTAACATATCTATCAAATCAAACAAAAAAGTTCAACTGCTTTATATTCCTCTAGAGTTTGAAAAAAAGAAAGAAAAAAAGGAAGACGGTATTATTTTAAAATCAAGCCACATCAAAAATCTGTTAAACTAAAGCACACGTATTTGGAAGTAGGTTAGTAGTGAAGCACACCAAGCCAAAATAAATACAGTAACAAGTTCATATAAATACATGCCAACACCGTAACCATGGTACTACCGTAAACACGGTACGACTGTAACCATGGTAACACCTACCTCAGGGTCTGTGTAAATGTCCTCGTGAGACAGGGTATCTATGGATACGGAGCACTCTGATGATCTGTTACTGTTTAAACACAAAACATTAATGTCAACTTTTTGGAGTTTTATACATATTCGTAAGGCAATTACAAAAGAAAATGAGAGCCAACGTTCCCTAGTGGATGTTCAGTGAAGGTCTGCGTACTCCGGTTGATGGATTACTAAATATAATTCACTAGTCTGGCCATAAGAGTAATGAAATTCACTAGTCTGGCCATAAGAGTAATGGAATTCACTAGTCCGGCCATAAGAGTAATGGAATTCACTAGTACGGCCATAAGAGTAATGGAATTCACTAGTCCGGCCATAAGAGTAATGGAATTCACTAGTCCGGCCATAACAGTAATGGAATTCACTAGTCCGGCCATAACAGTAATGGAATTCACTAGTCCGGCCATAACAGTAATGGAATTCACTAGTCCGGCCATAAGAGTAATGAAATTCACAAGTCCAGCCACAAGAGTAATGGAATTCACTAGTCCGGCTATAAGAGTAATGGAATTCACTAGTCCGGCCATAAGAGTAATGGAATTCCCCTAATCATAAGACAGTAAAGGTTAGATAGATCTTAGAATATTAGCCTAACAGTAAGCTTCTTTAATTATTCAATTCATCTATTTCATTTCCCATTATTGATATGTATTCAAGGATCTCAAAAAAATCTTATTCCAATATTCCAAGATACTTTTTCCATTTGTAAAAATGGCTGTTATATAGGCATCAACTAGGGTATACTTTCATATAAGTGTTTCTGTGACTTACCTGCCACTGGAGTTTATAGAACTGGGGGTACTGGCGCGGTGAATGTACTGGACACCGTTACCAGACAGACTGGCATTACCCGAGTCTGATCGCCGATTCAACGATGTTTGTGAGCCCTGAAACATTAAAACAATGTAAGCAAGGAAAATACGTTCATATGACATATAATAGATATATATTCATCATTTCAAGTACAAATATCGGCATTCAAAAGACATTGTGTGTACATTTATTTCTCCTGCGGTCGCTTAAGTGTTTTTTTTCTTTTCCCTAGTGATATTTTTTTGGTGAACAATGTGACATTTCTGTCTTGACTTGATAGGAAACATGAAATTTTGCATTCAGAAATATTTATTAACTTCTCTTCACGTACAAGGGGAGAAAACAAATCTTCATGATCATGTTTGATTTATATAAAATAAGTTAATAATAAAATCTGTCTCTCTTTCTATCATATTAAAGTAATGTATTCTTGTAATCATCAGTGAAGAGTTAACAAAGGGAGGTAATACCTTATCCTCAACACTCTGCTTAATTCCTTTGAGTATATCTGCCAGGCTGTTTACCATGGCAGCCAAATCTTTGTGACCAGCCATTCTCATCTGTTTGAGACCCTGATCCAGCAGGCGTATCTATACAGAACACAGAAGTACAAAGTCAGTTACACCTTTCATACAAAGGAATATACAAAACACATTTTGATCATGGTAAACCTCTTTTTGATAATAGTAAACCTCTTCTATTATATAGATGGAAAGCTAAGATAGTTTCTGCATGTTCTAGATGTGACTTTTCACTTCATAGTTTGTTGAGATACACACACCAGGGTATAGGTGTGTTATTTCTTTTGAAACAAACACTAAAATGAAGCTTTTAGAGAGAAAGTGACTAACTAGTTTATTGTTTTGTGTCTGTAAGTCAACTATCCTGGATACCAACCCACATATAAGTGGTCCACTTAACTCACCTGGTCCTTAATGCAGCGTTTGAGCTCAGGGCAAAGGAATGTTTCCTCTGGGTGTTCTATGGCAAAGTCATTGGAGAAGAAAGCCTAAAACAGCAAATAAAAGTGTTCAAAAAGTACTGATAATGGAAAACAGTAGTTGATGTTGTTTGTTTGTTTCAGTGGTTTTATGTCTGCTTTAATACAGAGTAGTTGGGTTTTTCAGCAGCTTAAAATTAGTATGACATTGACCCATTTTATGGTACATGTTAGGAAGGCGGAACCAATCCACCTATTGTTAATTGATAAGTAAGGGGAGACAACTTTGAAATTGACCCACCTCTTGGTACTTGTTAGATAAGGAAAGATAACTGTGTGCCATTCTAGTACTTGTGGGGTATTAAAAGGGGAGACAACTGTAAAATTGACCCTTCTTGTGGTACTGGTTATGAAAGGGGAGACAAATGTGATTTGACTCACCTCTTGGTACTTGGGGATGCCTCCCATCACATTAGCACTGATCATGCCATTTAGCAACATGGACAGGTGTTTGATATTGTCATCATTGGGATTGTGGTGACAATCTCCAATCACAATTGTGAGTTCGCGACATGCTGCCTCTACTGCCTCAATGGCCGTCCTCAGCGGATTCAAGGTCACGGTCTCCATACTGACAACTTCGTACCATTGCAGTATCCCGGGGAACTTGTAGCTCGTCTTCATGAGAACTCGTTCCGTACATAGGGACTGTTTGTGAAACAGGTACATTTATGTTTACTTTTTAATAATAAACTAAAAAGCTTACATGTCTTAAACATTTTACAAAACTATCTGTACATTACTTATTACATTGTTTTTTTATATTCCTGATTTTTTTTATGATGGGGGACTTGTCAAATGTTTTACTTTTTACAATATTTTACAATAAGAAATCCTTAAAACAGGACCTATAAGAAACAGTGGATTCATGATTAAAATATTTGAAAATATTTCCTGAGATTCTGCCACTTTGTATATAACGTTTTCCTATTATACTTGGATATCTTGAACCATCTTAAAAGTTCTGGTAAATTCTCCTTGGTTTAACAAACAACTACCTTTACTTCACAAGTAACCTAGTGTCAATACCTTAAACTCATTGTTCTTGTCCATCTCGCCACGGTAGAAAGACTTATCAAACTGGAATGTATCAACATCATTTGCATTGTAGAATTGTTTAATCTCTTTGGCAGCGTCTGGACGGTTCCTGAACTCCGGTCTCTCCTCAGCTACAGGCTTCACCCCACAGATCTGTATGACTAGACTTAGGTTAAGGCACACAAACACACCAACATCTCCTTACAGCACGTCATATCCAGGACCTTGAGTCACTTACTGTTAAATCAGTATTTTTAAGTACTTTTCATCCACATGACCTTTTGGCATCCATAAATAATCCTTATCATATTACATTTAACCTAAATAATTACTCAATCCTAATCTACTTTAGCAGCAGATTAATTGGTTTGGAAAATTTATTAAAAGTCTTTTTGAAGCTAAAAGGTCACATATAATCTTATCATGTTTTAGGCCAAATTCAAAACCGGCTGATGTTATTTTTTGAACGGGAAAAGGATTGGTAAGTGGAGCAAAAAAAACAAAAAATAAAAATAGAAGCTGACTGTTTTTGTCATGAATTGTCACCTGAATCTAATTTTCAGTTGCTATGAGTAAGTACTTGTGTCTATCAGACAGGTGTTCTTTGTTGTGTAAAGGATACTGAGCGTCTCGCCCTCCTTCATCTCCTCCGTCGGGTTTGTGTTCTTCTTCATAATGTTGGCGGTGGGAAACTCCTGTGTGAGCTGGTTTATTATGTCTTGTAGTTTCAGACACTCGTGGCCACGGTACACGAACGCCTTGTTCTGTAATTATAAACACTGCTACATAAACAAAAATACTTAACTTAGGTAGTTGTGAAATTAACATTTGTATGTACCTGGTAATAAATATGAAGAAGTGTATCATCGAAACTAAATTGTCCTCACTGACCAATCCTTTACTCATCAAATACTCATGGCCGAACGTACAAATACAGCTGAAATTTGTAATTATCTGTTTTAGTATAAAGATTTACTGATCTATATCATAAATCTGTACTTTTCTATATCTCCTAAATATTTTGGAAACAAGACAGTTGATGAATAATTTAAGGAAGTATGTAAAGTTTCTGATAAAAGGCCTACCCTGACGAAGGGGGGAAAGTTGCGGCCGTAGTATGCCACTCTAAAGAAGGTAGGTTTCTGTCGAGGATAGAACTTCTTCTGTCCGTCCTCCGCCACTTCCACGCCATCCAGTATCTTACTGAAGAAAGCTGCCTGTTTTTGCTGAGAAAATGAAAAGTAAATTGTTTCGATACAGGAAACCCTGTGTTAACTGACTCCAAAGAGGATACCTCTCTGTAATGTTAAAGCCAACACAAGTCACGTTACAATACTACTGCTATAAAAGTGTCTGCTATATCACCATTATTGCTTACAGGAGGTGCTCAAAATTTAGTGCATGATAGGTTACATAGCAATACATGGCATATTGAACAGGCTGTGAAAAAATATATATACCGGTACATTGTACCGTCACTGTACCCAAATCGGGACACTTATGGGACAACGGCCCTATAAACTGTCATTCAATGCAAAGAAGTACTTTCATGTATACAGTTTTCATTTCATGATACTTTTATGACAATTGGACTGTATGTGAGCTTAATTGGCTGCTGATTATCATTACATGGACAATTTAAAGGTAAGAATAATGACCAAATCAAAACTTTCCCTATTTACGTGCCTTGCGGCGCTATTTATTTGGATATCATTTTCAAAAGTCTATTTTATCAAAACTAATGCTTGTTTGGAGAAGACATTTAATCACAACCCTGTTTGACTCTAAGATATTTGAAATATGTTTTCTTTTCTGCTGATATTGATCGTTTATCTCCAAATATTGGCCAAAATACCGAAATGTCCCTTTCAGGATACAGTTATGCCGGTTCAAGGGCATACGTAACCCTGATGGTATTTCACATTTTATTTATAGAACCACGCGCCCGAAATATTAATTTGTAATAGAAATGAAAAGTGGATAGTATCTATTTATGAAAAATGAACAAACATTTTTGGAACTGATAGTATGGTATAAAGAACATTGATATTTATCTAAAAAGTATCCCGATTTGGGTAAAGTGACGTTAATAAATATTGAACAGTCTTTCATGACAGACTTTACAACATTAACAACCAATACCCAAACACAAAGTCTCCTGAACAGTTGTGTTAGTGTGATCACTGAATCAGGAATTCATGTATGTACAGTTTTACGGAAATAACAGTGGCAGCATATTACCAAACTCATTACCCCCATTATACAAGCATCATCATTATGTATACAGGTTGTTACGTCTGTCTGCCGATCCCAGTAACCACACTTACCAGGATCTGACTGAGTTTGCGGTACTCAAGTCTGTCCTCGTAGAACTTCGCCAGTTCCTTACACAGTGGAATGCCGAACTCCCAAACCTGTCAAAATGTAAAGTCGTTTAATACAATCATTCATTTTTATCTAAGATACTTGAAACATCCAACTTTCTAATTCTATTTAATTGTGGTTGCTTTGTTAAAAATACTGTATGTTGTTGGGATCTGAGAGAACTAGTTGATAGTCTTATATAGAATCCTACCGAAATGTCCCCCATTAGTACATCAAGTTATCTCCCTTACTTTGTTCAATTTCAAAGTTTTTTTACCAGGTAGTAACAGATTTGGCATTTCAATGTTCTTATTTTTTCTCAAATGCTTATCTGTAACATATAAATCTATAATTTCTATTAAATTACATTTAAGCTTTTGTGACGTGATTTGAACCCGCGACCCTTCGGTTACGAACCCGGCGTCCTACCACTAGATTACTAGCCTCCTAACTGTTAACTGACCTTGCCCTTGTCGAAGCACTCTATGACCTTTTGGTACATGCCCTCCTTCCTCTCCCACTCGGGCTGTGGATGGTAGCCCATCTCGCCCTGTTTGATGTTGTCGGTCCAGTTGAGCAGCTTGGCGTACAACTGTAAGGTAAGGCCGGCCTCCACAAAGTTCTTAGCGGAGAGGTGAAGGTCATACAGCTTTTTGATGTAACGCATGTACATTTCCTGTCTGTTACTGTTGTCTTTGTAGAAATTCTAAAACATTGAAAAGAGAAACTAAAATGATATTTTCTGTTAAGCAGATGATTACAGTTTATCCCCTCAAACAATAGGCCAAGGAAACGATGCAGGCTATTACCAGTCAACATTTAAGTACATAATATTATTTTTAGATAAATTTAAGAATTAAAACTTATTTTTATATTTCAAATTCAAATTAGATAACACTAAACAAGCAAATCTCCATACAGCACTGCACTAACTTGTAATTTGTCTTCATATACATTGTATATTGGTAAGTGATGGTCAATTAAACTGACCAGTACAGTCATATTCTGACCTACACAATTTATATACCTATAGGTCACTGTGACTGACCACTACATATACTGCCCTATACAACCATACTACTCGGTAGTGAAGCAAATGTAAAAACCAATCAATCAATCAATCAATCAATGTACTTGTGATTGACCATTACACACACTGACCACTAGACTGCAAGCTGACCTGTAGGGAACTTTGACAGACCACTAAATATACTGTACTTGACCATTATACACACTGACCAATAAACACTGTTACTGACCGGTGATTAAGGAACAGACCACACGAATGACCTCCTACACAGATGATGACTCTAGAATATTTATTCATCATTAGATAAGTAGGGTGTTATGGGGTTGTAACGGTCGGATAGCAGTTTGACCATTAGACTGACCAAGAGATTAACCAATTTGTCCTTGTTAACAAGTACCAAAGCTGTTTATGACACCATAATTTAGGTACTGTCATTACCCAGAGGAAATGAGTTTGAAATGCGTTGTATTGTATTGGTTCATAACTCAAAACTTTACTGCAGTGTAAATTGGGTGTAATTTCCTTTTGAAATTAAATTTTCAGTGATTTTATCTTACCGCTGTCGACAATAACAACTTAAATCAACATGCATCCTTGTGAAAATATTTTTGTGAGCTTTGAATTTCTGCTTAATGGAAACATTTCTACCAATAGACATAAGAATCCACTATAAGATCTAGTAATGTCATATAGTAACTTCCCGTTTGATATCTCTGACAATGATAGGGAGAAATGGAGCACTGGTATGAGGTTATACAGAATCAATAGAGAGTGGGAGGTGGGAGAGAGGCTAACAGGAACGGATCACCAACTGCCTCTAATCCTGTTACAAGTACGCTCATCCCTAAAATCATGGATGTCTATCAAAACTACAGCCTACAGCAGATACACTGATAAAACTCCTAAAACCACTGTATGGGACCACTCCTACGGGTTATTTTTGTACTTCAATTCGAACAATAATTTACATTCTGATGACGGTCCAACTAATGGGCCGAAACATGTAAACTGGATTAATTTGATGTTTTTTGGTCATCTCTTCTTTTGTATTAATACTATACTTTATAATTGAATAAAATGACACTGTACTATTGCCATAGAAATGAAATATGTTAAAAGGGCTTGTGATCATGTTTATGCATAAAGGGATAATGGAATAGCACTAAAGGTTTACCGTAGTAAACAAGAATGGAGTTCGTGAAGAATATGAGTTGGTACTGAAGGTTTTCGTCAGTTTAGATTTGTGAAGAGTCCATGATTTACCATAGCCTTATAAAAACCATCAGAAAGTTGACCATACTTGACAAGTTTGGAGCCCAAGAATGGAGTTGGAGAAGGATATGAGTTGGTACTGAAGGTTTATGGGGCATGTATATTATGTTAAGAAAAGTTCTGAGTTCTCCTCAGTTCTATAAGCAGAGATAACTTTTTCTAGAGCTTTTCTCTTACAGAAAGCCTCCTTACATAATCTGTCTTGTATTTTTCAGAGATCTCCTTAAGACAGTCAGCATACTGCCTATACTAGACTGAAGTCAAGCCGAACCCCTCTGGATCCCGACCAGATTTGACGTCTGATTCCATCACTGTCAAACCTAATAGTGCCCACTAAACTGAAACTGCACTGGTAATAAATATGTTACTTTGTGGTGGTGTCAAACTCAATTCAAATACGGCAAGATAATTATTAGAGAATAGAATAAACTGATCAAGCTTGAAGATCTGTCTTTGAGACATGAGAGGATTTTTTAATATTTCCGCAACCATCAGCTTTTTAGATTTTTAGATTATTATTTACTATGTTCGAACAACTCAGGACATCTTTGAAAATAATCAGCATGACAGATACTAATTTTAACCCTACAGGTTAATGGAAAATATGCTAACATAATAAAATGTTTCTCATACAATTTACAAACTTAATATTTTTATTTATTTTAAAGCTTTGTGATATTGATTATCAGATATTGTTGGAATCTACTAAATTGGGAACACAGCATCGATGATGGCGGCATTTAGCTTCGATTCCCCACAAACATACTCCAGTCAGTAGGAAAGTGATGCAATAATCCCTGACTCGGCCAATTAATGAACAAAACCAGGAAGCAGAACCTAGCTGGCTCCGACTACCTGTAGGGTCAGACAGGTGAGGATACCTACAATTACACCTGTCTGTCAGGTGTGATGAAACGGTCCGGATTCTGCTGCCACTCATACGCCCATTAAATCAGAAAAAATATGGATGGTAACAGTATGGGAGGTTTAATCTGGCCCGATATATATTTTCAGTTGGACAATCTCCAATTTGTAAATCTCATGAAATAACAGAACGGCCCAAAGGGAGATAACTGTAAACATGACCAATATTTGGAACTGATAGATGGCAACTCAACCTAACAGAACTGTTCTGTGATATCACGTACAAGCCAACTGTTCCACCAGCCTCCCTGATACTACCCACACAAAGGCCATTCATCTGACCAGCAAAACTTGTGTAATTGGCAAGGAAATGAATTCATGGGATTCCAGTAATTGGCAAGAAAATGGATGGAGAGATTGAAAACAAACATCTTCTAAAACCCCAATCTGTCATTTTGTACAGGAGGTCAGGGCCTTGGTAAGAAGTGGTTCAGCATAAACAAGCACTGATTATAACACATACTGGTCCTAGCACCCACTGGAACATTGCCTACAACGGGTTTACATTAGATATTTTGTCTTTAGACAATATCACAGATATGACCACATAGGTCCCCAGGTGGTAATTAGTTGACAAGACAGGTGTACTAATCCTGCAGTAACAGGGACGATAATGGATGGTATCCCCTCCCTCCCTTCCTGATGATCCCCCTCCCCAGCTGATTATATATCCTCCCTCCCCTATAAGCTGGAGGAAACATTACACATCCTGTTTATTGGGTAGGCAATATTAAGTTGTACCAGCCGATTACTGAGATTACTGAACGGCTTTATGCTATCATCAAATTAACATCAGTTACCGCCAAATTAATTCCACCGGTGGTGCTGGGAATGAATGGAGGTGAGAGAACAGCTGTCACATATTTGAGGCATGTCTAGAGGAATGTAATGGAAAACTTTTATATTAGAGTACAAAAACTGAAGACATATGTCTTTAAATAAAGCCCAAGAATCCTCATTTACAGAAAATAATTTATGTGTTTACTAAATACACAGGACAGTAGAGTCACATATTAATAAAAAAAACCTGACTGTTGTAAAATGAAATAAGAACAGCTGCTTGACAAGATAAACAAGTAATATACACATTTACACCATTAATATCATGGTCAATACATCCATTAACCCTTTCACCACTGTAGACCATAATGGACTCATCCATATCAATGCATGGTAGAGCCTACTAAAGTTACATAGGGGTGAAAGGGTTAATATCATGGTCAATAGATTCTTTCACTTGGGACTGTTATGTTGGTTGGAAGACCCCATTAGAGCATGTCATTATCACAATATGGAATCAAATCAATACCTTTTCAACATTTTGGATTTGCCAACCAGTGTATACCTTGCAGTATGTGTGTACATGTACCTTACATACTGCAAAGTAAATTGTTAAGTAAATTTTTTGGATGACAGATTTTCATTCATTTTGTGCGTGACAAAGATCTATGAAAATAAACCTATGAATTTTTTCAGTGCTATTATAAGCAAAAATTACTAAACCAGGGAGTGTCCTTGAGAATCTTTAAAAACAGTAAGTCATGCGACAAAGATTGTGTGTGTGTTCCAGATTATACAACAAATAGGTCAAGGTAACTTCTTTTGGACAAACTAAAAAAGGTTAGCCAAAGGATTCTTCCTAACTCATTGCATATGTGACAAAGTCCAACAATGTCAGTCAGTGACTTCCCACTATATACAGCAGTCAGTCAATAGGTCACCCAGACAGGTAATAGGTCACCTAGACAGGTAATAGGTCACCCGGACAGGTAATAGGTCACCCAGACAGGTAATAGGTAAGTGACAGCACTGAGTTACTTACAAGGATGTTGAAGGTGCTCTGCATCCGTCTGTCACCATTGTCTTCTCCATCATACACATTCCTGAAAAGACAAAAATACTAATTGATTGCTCAATATATCACTACTTCACAACTCCACAACAAAGCTTGTAATCAAACATTAATTCTCTACGCTTATTTTGGTTAAATTTAAGCTGAAGTGTACCATCAAGTAAATCACACCTTGCGATGCATTGTACAGAATTGTAATTTTGAATGAAATATCAATACTTGAAAACCAAAATATAACCCCCACCCCCAAAGAAAACTTCAGAGGTCAAACTTGGGACCTAACAATACCTGGATAACTATCAATCTTCATTGCTATCCAGGAATTACTAAAGTACTGCATCAAAATGAAAGATGAACATCTTGACAAGGGAAGTAACTCTAAGTCAGAAAAGCTCCTTTCTGTTGCTTCATGGTGTATACAGGAGACAGGATTCTTCTTGTTTTAAAAATAAGATCTTTCACCGTCCTCATATGACCCTGGCCATTACGAGCAGGTTAAAACATAAACAAACCAGCATTTCAGGACAGCTTTCACAAGGAACATTTCTTTTACAAAATGTTCTGACATCAGTCTATGACAAAATGTGGGAACAGGGCAAGGGGTTGAGGAACACCACAAATTACACACAGTGGCAGCTCTGAGACTGCATATTGCTAGCCTTCTAAGCTGGAGTTTTAAATGCCAGAAATCATATCTAACTACTGTTTACCAAGTGCGAGTACCTTCATCACTCGCTAAGTGTTAGCAATGTGTGAGATGTCCCTGTGTATACTCAGTCTCCCTTCAGGGATAAAAATACTGCTAATGTTTTTGACGCACTTTACCCCTCATTTGAGATGAGAAATGAGGGAGATCTGCCTCATTGGAGGTTTCAGAGGTAGACACCTATGAACACAGCATTCCATTATCAATTTATAAATTAGGGTACCATTTCACCCAAGTATCTACGGGCTGACAAGGACAGTATGTACAGATAAGTAGGCCAGACAGAATCTACAGCGGTACCATGTCTCAGTGCTGATCATTACCCATTTAAACTGAGCATGACAATTTATTTGAATCACACATGGATAATTATTTAAATCAAAATAAAAAGAATATGCTTCTCACAAAATTATCAAATGCATATAGTTATTAACATCAAACGACGCTTTGATCTGACAAAAAAAAGGAGGGAATAATAATTTCCAAATGTATCTCTTCATATGAGGGGTAGGTTGTAAACTGGGACAACACATGTATAATTAGGTGTGAAATGTCACATGGAAACCACAATGCATGGGAAAAATTTATCATCTAGATGCTCTAAAGTTCAGGCTCATTATTATATTCATCCTAAACCTACTGTAACCATGGGACGACTCTTGAAGATCTATCATTATTAACCTGTGCCATCAGTAACCCCCAGACACCTCTTATAGAACTAACATGAACCTGCTTAGGAACCTTGTCCCACAGCACTGTGGTTTCCTATATACAGTAACCTCCCCTTAAGGATCCCTGTCCTACAGCACTGTGGTTTCCTATATATACAGTTACCTCCCCTTAAGGATCCCTGTCCCATAGCACTGTGGTCTCCTATATACAGTTACCTCCCCTTAAGGATCCCTGTCCTACAGCACTGTGGTTTCCTATATACAGTAACCACTCCTTAAGGATCCCTGTCCTATAGCACTGTGGTCTCCTGTATACAGTTACCTCCCCTTAAGGATCCCTGTCCTACAGCACTGTGGTCTCCTATATACAGTAACCACTCCTTAAGGATCCCTGTCCTATAGCACTGTGGTCTCCTATATACAGTAACCACTCCTTCAGGATCCCTGTCCTATAGCACTGTGGTCTCCTATATACAATAACCACTCCTTAAGGATCCCTGTCCTATAGCACTGTGGTCTCCTATATACAATAACCACTCCTTAAGGATCCCTGTCCTATAGCACTGTGGTCTCCTATATACAGTAACCACTCCTTAAGGATCCCTGTCCCATAGCACTGTGGTCTCCTATATACAATAACCTCCCCTTAAGGATCCCTGTCCTACAGCACTGTGGTTATCTATATACAGTAACCACTCCTTAAGGATCCCTGTCCTACAGCACTATGGTCTCCTATATACAGTAACCTACACTTAAGGCTGCCTGTCCTACAGCACTGTGGTCTCCTGTATACAGTAACCTCCCCTTAAGGATCCCTGTCCTTCATCGCGGTGGTCTCCTATATACAGTACCCTCCCCTTAAGGATCCCTGTCCTACCGCACTGTGGTCTCCTATATACAGTTACCTCCCCTTAAGGATCCCTGTCCTTCATCGCGGTGGTCTCCTATATACAGTACCCACTCCTTAAGGATCCCTGTCCTTCAGCACTGTGGTCTCCTATATACAGTTACCTCCCCTTAAGGATCCCTGTCCCATAGCACTGTGGTCTCCTATATACAGTAACCACTCCTTAAGGATCCCTGTCCTATAGCACTGTGGTTTCCTATATATAGTAACCTCCCCTTAAGGATCCCTGTCCTATAGCACTGTGGTCTCCTGTATACAGTAACCTCCCCTTAAGGATCCCTGTCCCATAGCACTGTGATTTCCAATATGCAGTAACCTCCCCTTAAGGATCCCTGTCCTATAGCACTGTGGTTTCCTATATATAGTAACCTCCCCTTAAGGATCCCTGTCCTACAGCACTGTGGTTTCCTATATACAGTAATCTCCCCTTAAGGATCCCTGTCCTACAGCACCGTGGTTTCCAATATACAGTAACCTCCCCTTAAGGATCCCTGTCCTACAGCACTGTGATTTCCTATATACAGTAATCTCCCCTTAAGGATCCCTGTCCTACAGCACTGTGGTTTCTTATATACAGTAATCTCCCCTTAAGGATCCCTGTCCTACAGCACCGTGGTTTCCTATATACAGTAACCTCCCCTTAAGGATCCCTGTCCCATAGCACTGTGATTTCCAATATACAGTAACCTCCCCTTAAGGACCCCTGTCCTACAGCACTGTGATTTCCAATATACAGTAACCTCCCCCCAAGGATCCCTGTCCCATAGCACTGTGATTTCCAATATACAGTAACCTCCCCTTAAGGACCCCTGTCCTACAGCACTGTGGTTTCCTATATACAGTAACCTCCCCTTAAGGATCCCTGTCCTACAGCACTGTGGTTTCCTATATACAGTAACCTCCCCTTAACTTCCTTAAGGATCCCTGTCCCACAACACTGTGGGTTTCCCCTTAATACGGTATAACCTCCCCTTAACTTTCTGTTTGGATATAGCTGTTGCAAAATTGGGCCAAGACACTTCCACTGACAAGGTAGCTCAATGGGTTAGAGAGATAGTATAACAATCTGAAGTCCTGGGTTCGAATCTCGGCTCCACTGATTGTTTTTTACACTCAGAACACTGTTGTTGATTTATTTATTTTATCTTTATTATTTCTCACAAAAGTCATCAAAGGTATTGTTTTCTTTTCAGAAATGATTTATTAAAGCTAGAGTCATGCCAAAAAAAAAAAAGTTTCCAACACTTTATTACAGTTTGTGACAGTGGTACGGGGATCCTTAAGCCTTATGCATTTCCACAGACAATACATGTATTTGGTGACACATGCTTCCTCATACTGTAAAAAATAGTTGTCAGTGTCTAGTTCTCTTTTCCAGCATCTCTAAGTTATACAGTGAGTTCAGTTGGGTAAATGCGTTTTCACACCAAAAGGATATTCCTAAGATTCAATTTCAACCCATTACCATGGAAACCCGTGAAAAAATACACAAGTAAAATGCTGTGTGAAGCCCTATGAGGGAGGATTGGTTTTCCTTAAGCAGTTTTTAAATTGCATGTAAGATTCCGGTTTGAAAAGTCCAGCAACTGTTTTCCTTTCCAAGATTAATTTTGAACATGTTTCTAAAGCAAATTTTGTGATCAGGTAGAAAGCCACTGATATATAAAACTTTTCATGATTAAATCAGTGATTTTTTTTCTAGGGCAATGTTTTTAATATGATTAAGTGTAATTGTCATTTGACTGGAAATCAGAGATGTCCTCTTTCTTTCCGATATATCATGACCGCAGTCAGCTAGCGTTACAGTCTGCTCTTAAAGCCGCCACAACACACACCTAAATGCTGAGCTGACTTTATTTACTGCAAGTCGCGTGACCTAAAATATCTAATGACAACACAAAAGCATGATGTGTACATCACCAAAATAATTACTTTCATCTCAGATCTAAAGAAAAATCATTTCAGTGCAGGATATTCTGGAAATTTCTTTTCCTTTAATTTCTTTTTTTGCATTATGTAGACCTGATATTACTGTAGGGATATAGCCATCAAACTTTTTACTATTCTAGACCAGAACTGAGGCGATATCATGTCATGTACAGGAAATATCACAAAACAAGTCATTTCACTTTATATACGAGTGTTTGTTTGTGCAGAAAACATGATATGTTAACAGAGACGTGTCTATGTGGTTATTAGTATATACAACCTATATCTACCTACTCACCAACGCAATACGTTGAAATTTTTTTTGAGAAAAGAACCCATTTAATTTAAAAAACAACCCATAAATCCATAAGTCTATCAAAATTGAATTTAAATGTGTATACCAATTCTACATGTAAGGTCTATAAAGGGTAGACATGTAGTTATTTACTAGTTTAATTACACAAGTACTGCTGAGAATTGAAGTTTCTGGTAATGGAAACCACATCACATTTGAAGTAGTTATATATTTTTTTGGTTTTACGTAATGGCGTCCCCTGTGTAGTAATAAAGTGTTGGTAACAGAACATCAAAGACCACTATTACACAGACCCTCCAACACCAATCTCAGACTTTATTATAGGGGTCAAAAGGTTAAACTCGTCATTATCACTGTCCTATGACCTGTGTTCAGGACATAGGCCCAACACTTGAATTTTCTTCAACATGGAGACATTATAATTAACACATCTACTGTACTGCCTGTAGCACTTCATATCACTCACTACCAACACAGGAAGGTAATACTTATGGAAATAACA